CTGAAAACTGGTATCCAGGGTGGATTTATGAGTTTGAAAACAGCTAAAGTCATCAGGGCTGTGAAATTGGAGGAGAGAGACCAGGAACAACTAGCAGACAGTAAAATAACCCCAAGAAAGATTAGCTTGATTAGCAGAATATGAAGACCATTGAAAAGGAGAGAGGATCATTTATACCTGTAGAGTGAAGAACAATGAGCCATTCAACTGACTGAATTGTAATGTCTCAGCTGCTGCACCATGGATCAGGAATCAAAGCAGGGTTTTTCTGTTCTGAGCAGAAAATCAACTTTCCTGCCTAATATATGCACCCAATTTTTGGGTAAACGGTGCATATTTTATATGAGAAAATATAGCATTTCTTGTTATACTTAGTCTGAATATTTTTGGTCCATGATTAGTATCTCATTAGGTTTTATTTTTAGGAATGCTTATAGTTACGTGCTTATAGTACATTTGACTAGTGAAAAACAAAACCATAAACAAATTCATAAGTGCATAGTATGAATAAGATAAAGTGTTATTTTGCAAGATTTTTCTTGTGGGATGTGCAGCAAGATAAGTGAACGAAAACAATTTTGGGGGGATTTATTTGTTTTTTATGCTTTATTTATATTTAAGTAAAAGGTTTATATTTTCTTAGATGCAGACTGTTTTGAAAACTAAATTATTCCTTCCTATGACAGGAAAGAACTAAACCAAGAAGAAATATTACCATATTAATTTACCTATTTATCATAATTGATTATTTTTTATTTTTATGAAATAAACCAGTGCAGTATATGAAAAGTATTTTAGCTTGCTTATAAAAATAGTATTTTCCAAACCTTTTCCCCAGACTGAAATATTTTTGCTGTGCCTCTCTTGTTGCAGATATAGAGGCAGTGGGTGTATCTACATGTGAAATTAGGGCGATGCGATAAACTCTGAAGCAGTTTGCACTGGAGTCAACTGTTCCTGGGTACAGTGTCTACATGTGCACCTGGAACAGCATCCATTTGAGCCAGGATGGAGCAAGCCACTGGCTGGCTGTGCTGACCAGACGCAACGTACGTCCCTGGTCACTGTCCATATGTGTATTTTGGCGTAGTAACTGACTGCCATCAGATAGTACTGTCTCCGAACAGTTCTATCCAGGGCTGTGTGAATTAGTATACTGTGCCCTAATAGCAGCACACATGTGTAGACTGTCACTTTACTGCAGAACTAATTAGTCAACTTGGCAGTAAAGCACACATGTAGATGCACCCAGTGTAGATTTAGTCCACTTTCTTGAAATCCTTTTTTCAGCTCTTCTCCAATCTCAAGTTAGAGAAGACATCAGGTGCAAACAGATTTGCCACCGTAGAAATTTTTATGGCAGCACAAGTAATCGGGCACCCTAGCCCCTTCAAATGTCATGTTTCAAATACCCCAAAATGTTGCTGTGACCAAAGGTAGTCACCACTTGTAACGCCTTATAGGAGTAGACTTCTTATTGCATGATGTAAAAATTCCCCTGCAGGGTGTGCTTGCACAGGCATACCCCGGGAATCCCTCTGCAGTAGATTTCTACAGTGCATGTATCAGGCTGCTATGCCCTGACTTAGGATGGGTGTCTGCAAATAAAGGAACTCTGCAAGAGTATCTCACTGCTGCACCCCAACTCTGGAGGGGTTCCTCCACTTACAGATGCATACCTGAGTCAGGCATGCAATACTCAGGGCTGTTGTCTTGCAGGATCAGGCCCTTGAAGCCCTGGGAGCAGCAGGGGCTCAACCATGCAAGACAGCAGCCCTGGCCAAGGTCTGTAAACACTAATGAAGTAGATCAACTGTGTCAGGACACATCCCAGCATAGCTGTTCCTCCTCCAAAGAAAACGTATGTTTAAACCCATCAAGGAAGAGAAGGAGACCTTGCATCTCCTAGAGTTAAGGACAGTACAACTGATCTCTAAATGAAAGGTGCCCAGTGGCCTGGTCTGTTGTTTTCATACTAGGAATAAAATCAGAAAGAAGTCCAGATGATTCCATACCTCAAGTAACTAAACAGTTGCAGGATCAACCACCACGAGCATTTATACACATGCTGTGGGAGTGTAGGGGGAAACACTTTTTAATTAGAGTGGTTCCAAGAGCCACTCTAATTAAAATGCAACTGCATCTCCTTTATCAGTGTCCCCGCACTTAAGTAGCAGCAGGGGTACTTTTAACTAAAGCTCATTTTATAAGCTTTAGTTAAAGCGCCTCCAGCGCCATCTTTAAGGGTGGGGTCACTGATATGTGAGATGCTGGAATCTGCTGGAGCGCAGTACTTGCCATGTTTCAGCAGATTCGATTAATCAAATCTGGTCCAATGTGCTGTAATTACAGTGCATTTTAGCAGCCTCGCTGCTCATGTATAGGCATCCCAGGGGACCTTTGATGGCAGCAGACCTGGCAGAAACTTATCTGTGCATGCTTAACAAGCCCTCCTCTAGTTTCTACTAGATGACATTTAAGGGAGCATCTTCCTCAACTTCACAAGAACTGAGCCAGAACCTGCTTGCTGTGCTTGAGATATACCTGTTGATGCTGACCTTAAGCAAGAACTTGTAATGCCTATCAGAGAATAGAGTCCATCTAGGGGTCAGAATAGAGACAAAGAAATCTAGGGTCTTCTAAAACAAGGAACGATTCAACAAAATCCAGCAGAGAGAGCTGCGGTGTTTGAGAAAGGTATCACTGATCTATCTTTGTCTTTAGCTCTAAGGTCTCATACATAGAGCTTGTTCAATGGACAAATTAGACCTTGCATGAGAAATCTTTGGGGGGTTTCTCTTAAGAGTCTGAAATTAATTCACTAAGCAGTAGAAACAAAGCAAATATATCATCCAAAGTGGTCTGGTTCTTCTGCTCATGGTAACACACACATTGTATAGTGCAGGGGTTTTAAAACTTGTTTAGTCTAAGTATCCCCTGCAGCTGGATGCTGCAGGGGGAGGGGAGGAGCGCGCATGGCCAGACACTGAGCAGGGAGGCGGGGATGGCATGCAGGTAGGCGGGGATGGAGCATCATTGCACCCAGAGACCTATAGTCATTTTTGATACTCTCAGGATCTCCCCTGACAGTATCATAGGTGCCCACATGGATGAGCAGCATGAGGTGGTAGTCAGGGCTGGATGAGTCTCAGTAGTCCCTCCATGACATCTTGGATCTGGGCTCCAGGCAAGCAGCAGACCTCCGGAGACAACAGGTCAGGTTGGCAGATGGCTCCCTCTGTCCCCCACAGAAGGGAGTCTCCAACCACTATCACCCATCGCTTCTTGGTGGCAGTCATCTCAATCCTTTACACCTTGGTGAGGCCTGTCCTTTCTTCGTCCACCAATGGAACATGCTCCTCCCTCTCTGCTGCTAGGGCTGTATATCTGTTCTCCAGACGAACCACTGCAGGTGGAGATGAAGATCTCTGCTTGCTGCCAGAAGTCACAAGTCTCCAGCTTCCACCCTCTTGGATGTCCACGTCCTCTTTTCTCTTGCACTGTCTCTGGCATTTCTTCCTCCACAGTCCCGGAGGTCTCCTCCAGCAGCAAATTGATGAACTCGTCATGGTGGAGGATATTTTCGAGCCTTGCCACCTCCTCCTGGAGCTGTCTTACCCGTTCCCCAAGAGACACCAGCAGGAGGCACAATGGGTGTGTGCGTGCGCGTGTATGCACACATGCACTCACACACAGATGCAGTGAGTTAGAGGAACTATTCCTTTTTCATTTGCATCTTCTATTGAAGAAACTCATCTTTGCATTTTGAAGCAGTGCAGACATTCATCTGGAGTCAGCCTAATCTTCCCAGTCAAACTTCTAGGTTAGGCTGCTCCAGGCTATTTACATACAGAAAGCCTACACAGCCCATGTGTATTCCATATAATTTTCATGTCGATTAGCCTAATGGACTCTCAATAACCTATAGAGGAAACATATACGTTGTTTTAGGATTTACATTTGATTTTTTTTTTGGTCCAATGCATGTATCAACTCATTTTGTATTCCTGAATCAGTTCATGCTCCTTTCTCAGGTTAGCCTGAAAGTCCTGGATGCCAGTTTGTGACTGTATTTTAATGATCTATTTGTTATATGAAGGAATGAAATGATCACTTCCTATGTGCTTCCAATCCAAAAAGTTGGCTGCTTTGACAATTTTGGACCTGGGTTCAAGGGAGGATCTTTTCACTATATCAGAGGCTGTCACCCGGGAGGGTATGCATACCCCGGGGATACTTGGACCGGTCCTAGGGGGTACATGTGGGTGGGCAGGGGCGGAGTGCCATCACCTCCAAGGAGGTGGGCCCGGGCAGGGCGAGGGCAGTGGCGCCCCTTTGCAGGGCAGGGAAGCTCGCACACAGTGGCCACCACCTCCACACACCGGCCTGGTGAGCTTCCCCACCCCGCAGAGGGGTGCTGCTGCCCTCACCCCAGCCCAGTGAGCTTCCCCGCTCCACCCTGGCCCTGCTCCTGGGAGGCAGGAGTGAGGGCTCAGGTTGTGTTCTCATTGATCCTTTTGGTCAAGGAAAAGGGCCCAGGCAGGAGCAGATGCATTGTGCATATCAACACTTGGCTGTATGGGTGGTGTTGCCGGGAGGGCTTTGGCTGCTTAGACCATGGGATTTTCTTCCAAGAAGAAGGATTGCTGGGAAGAGATGGGATCCAGCTGATGAAGAGACGGAAGAGCATCTTTGCAGACAGGCTTGCTACCCTACTGAGGAGGGCTTTATATTAGGTTTGCTAGAGGATGGAGACCAAAGCCCTAAGGCAGAGGTGGCCCACTGGTGGCTCCGGGGCCACATGCAGCTCTTCAGAAGCTAATATGTGTTTCCTTGACTCTTTTGACAAGCACAAGGTGACCAGCTTCCATAGCTGTTATGTCACATCATTACATATTACTGTGGCTCTTTGGCAATGTACATTGCTACATTCTGGCTTGTTCTCAGGCTGAGATTGGCCACCCCTGCCCTAAGGTATGTGGGGAAGTGGGAGACCTGGAAGAAGAGCAAGCAGGAAGGGGCAACAGGAGAGATGCTCTCATACTTCCTGAGAAATCAACTAGTTACCTCAGGTACTTGTAAACAAATGCATGAAGCCTGAGAAACAAGCAGGAAGAATTGGAAGTCCTTGCACAGTCACTTAACTATGATGTGTTTGGAATAACAGAGACCTGGTGGGATGGCTTGCATGACAGGAGCATTGTCATAGACAGGTGTAAACTGTTCAGGGAGGACAGGCAGGGGAGAAGAGGAGGAGGAGTTGCGCTTTCTTTAAAAAAGCTACATGATTGTTCAGAGCCTGCTGCTCACAAACAGGGAGGAATTGGTGGGGAATGTAGCAGTGGATGGCAATGTGGGCAGCTTAACCATGAGATGATTTGAGTTCAGAATCCTGAGGAAAGGAAGGATGGAGAGCAGCAGAGTAAGCACTCTGGCCTTCAGAAAAGCAGACTTCAACTCATTCAGGGAACTCATGGGCAGGATCCCCTGTGAAGCCAGACTGAGGGGGAGAGGAATACAAGACAGCTAGCTGTACTTTAAGGAAGTCTTACTGAGAGTGCAGGACCAAACCATTCCGATACACAGGAAGACTAAGAAGTATGACAGAAGACCAGCTTGGTTTTAACAGGGAATTCTTCAGTAAACTATGTAAGAGCATTGCTCAGGTGTGCAGGGATGAAGTCAGGAAGGCCAAAGCACAATTAGAGTTGCAGCTAGCAAGGGATGTGAAGGGTAACAGGAAGGGTTTTTACAAGTATGTCGGTAGCAAGAGGAGAATCAGGGAAAGTGTGGGTCCATTACTGAATGGGGAGGCAACCTGGTGAGAGAGGATGAGGAAAAGGCTTAAGTACTCAATGCTTTTTTTGACTCAGTCTTCAGAGGCAAGGTCAGCTCCCAGACTACAGTCCTGGTGATCAGGAGAGGTCCTGGATCATTGGAAAAGGAAAAACATAGTGCCCATATTTAAGAAAGGGGAAAAGGAGGATCCAGGGAACTACGTATCAGTCAGCTTCACCTCAATCCCTGGAAAAATCATGGAGCAGATCCTCAAGGAATTCATCTTGAACCACTTGGAAAAGGTGATTAGAAATAGTCAGTGTGGATTCACCAAGGGCAAGTCATGCCAAACCCACCTGATTGCCTTCTATGATATGTGTGGATGTGGGGAGACCAGTGGATGTGGTATACCTTGATTTTAGCAAGGCTTTTGATACGGTCTCCCATTACATTCTTGCAGGCAAACTAAGGAAGTACAGGCTGGATGAATGGACTGTAAGGTGGCTAGACAACTGGCTGGAGCATCAGGCTTAGAGGGTAATAATCAATGGCTCGATGTCTAGTTGGCAGGTGGTATCTAGTGGAGTGCCCCAGGAGTTGCTCCTTTTGCCGGTTTTGTTCAGTGTCTTCATCTGTGACCTGGAAGATGGGATGGAGTGCACCCTCAGCAAGTTTGCAGATGACACCAGGCTGGGAGGAGTAGTAGATATGCTAGAGGGTAGGGCTAGGTTTCAAAGTGGCCTAGACAAATTGGAAGATTGGGCCAAAAGAAATCTCATGAGGTTCAACAAGGACAAGTGCAAAATCCTGCACTTAGGATGGAACAATCCCATGCACCAGTACAGACTGGGGGCTGACTGGCTGGGCAGCAGCTCTGGAGAAAAGGAACAGGGGGTTACAGTGAACAATATGCTAAATATGAGCCAGCAGTGCGCCCTTGTTGCCAAGAAGGCCAACGGTATACTGGGCTGCATTGATAGGTATGTTGCCAGTCAGTCCAGGGCAGTGATTATTCCCCTCTATTCAGCACTATTGAGGCCACATCTGGAGTACTGTGTCCAGTTTTGGGCCCCCCACTCCAGAAAGGATATGGACAAATTAGAGAAGGTCCAGCAGAGGGCAGCAAAAATGGTGAGGGGGCTGGAGGACATGACTTATGAGGAGAAGCTGAGGGGACTGGGATTATTTAGTGTAGGTAAGAGAAGACTGAGAGGGGATTCAGTAGCAGCCTTCAACTACCTGAAGTGGGGTTCAAAAGACGATGGAGCTAGACTGTTCTCAGTGGTGGCAGATTACAGAACAAGAAGCAATGGTCTCGAGTTGCAGCAAGGGAAGTTTTAGTTTAGATATTAGGAAGAATTTTCTCACTAGGAGGGTAGTAAAACACTGGAACAGGTTACCCAGAGGTGGTGGACTCTCTGTCCTTGCAGGTTTTTAAATACCCAGCTGGACAAAGCTTTGATTGGGAGGATCTAGTTGGGATGGTCCTGCTTGGAGCAGGAGGTTGGACTAGGTTGTGGGTCACCAACCTTTTTATGCTGAAGACTGGCAAATTGTGGACCAGCAAACTGTGGACCAGCAGTGACCACAGGAGGTTGAGCAGCCAAATCCCTTCTTAAAACTCACTTGGGTGATGGTTATAGTGGTCACTGCTTGTCCACAGTTTGCTGGTCCACAGTTTGCCAGTCTTCAGCATAAAAAGGTTGGTGACCCCCGACCTAGTCCAACCTCCTGCTCAACCTCCTGTGGTCACTCAGCCAACCCTTTTTTATACTGAGGGTTGGCTGTTGGCCCACAGTATGCCAGTCGCTTCTGGACTTCCGGTCTGGCAGTCAAGCCTCCTGTGGACCAGCAGCCAACCCTTCACAGCCCGGTACCAGGCTGTGGCCTGTGGGTTGGGAACCCCTGGACTAGATAACCTCCTGAGTTCCTTTCCAACCCTAATTTTCTATGATTCTGTGATTAACAAAGTAATGTATTCAAATAAAAATGGGGTTTCATTTCATAGTTGGTAGGGCTGGAAGGGACCTGAGCAGATCATCAAGTCCAACCCCCTGCCATGGAGGAAATGGTCATTCTCGTTACTCCAAACTGAAGAATATCATGGTACCAACTTAGTACAGTAGTTGGCAGAGGTCCCCAGTTTGTCTTCTCAGTGGATAGGATCTTCTGTCCTAGGTATAATATATTTATCCCAGTCTAGTATATCTGAGCCTGACAGGTTCATGCAAATTGAATTCTACGAACCCAACATACGTTTCTTGAATGCAATTGAAAAATTCCTGGTCTTGCTCAGATCTTTCCATCTTCTCAGTACATGAAAGTGAAAGGACGCAATTTTCCTAAAGGTGTTAATACAATAAAAGGATAACTTTAGGAAACTATGCATGACTTCTCTGAATATCTTACAGGATAGCATACACTTTTTCAGAGATTTCCCACCATCGTTTTTCAAGTTTCACTGATAAATCCTGGGAGGGATGAACAGTAAGTAAATCTATCCACATTTCCAGGGTATCCACCTGACAAGATCCTATCAGCTGAGCTATTCAAGCCAATCTTCCCTGGTGAAGTTATATCCAACAGTACTAAAAGATACCCATACTTTGGGCACCCATTGGTTCTGTACACAAATGTGAAAGCTACTTCAACATGCTGGAATTCCAACACGTTGGAGCAGACTTGATTAATTGAGTCTGCTGGAGCCTGGTAATTGCTGTGTTCCAGCAGCCTCCTGCGTCTTGTGTATCAGCATCCCTGCACTTAAAAATGGTGGTGGGGGCACTTGAACTAAAGCTTGTTGAACAGGTTTTAGTTCAAGCATCCCCACCACCATTTTTAAGTGCAGCGACACTGATGGAGGAGATGTGGTGGCACTTTAATTAGAATGGCTCTCAGAGCCCCACCCCTCCCCTAAAGCCCTGCCCCTCCCCCCTATCCCTGGAGCATGTGTAAAAGTTCCCAATAGCATCTCATTCTCTGTATTCCCTTATCAAAAACACCTGGTGCTTGATTGCAGTCATGTTGAGAGAAGAATTCAATACCAGAAGGTGCCAATTCAACATAACCTTTGGTGTTGTCTGCCAGACAGAGTATTGGCCACTGTAAAGAAAAATCTGCAAAACAGCCACCTGGTTATCTAGTGACACTGCTAAAATACATTGCAAGCTTGACTCTCTCTGATTCACACAAAAGCATCCTTCTTCTAGAAAGATGCTGCAAATGGTAGTCTGTATATTATACAAGTTTGTGCAACTATGAACACTTCAGTACTGAATACCGAAAAGGGGAAGCACATGAGAATATGACTGAGAATGAATAGGCTGTTACAAATAAGTTTTTTTCTAAAAAAAAGAACTGAATCATTGATATGATACTGTGATGTTGTTGGTATAAAAGTAACTTGTGCATTAGTAAAGTCTCTATTTTTATTAACATTTCATTTCTCCTTTCAACAGAGATAAAGAATTAATTGCTAGTTACATGAAATCAGTGGAAGCCAACCTTCAAAAGGTAATTTAACTCTTTCCTCCTAGAGTATCTTTGTATCTTAGGTTACACTGAACATTTAGAATTGCTTATTTTTGAAGAGGCTAGTGGTGGGAGTTATTAAAATTATACAAAGGTTTATTTATATATATAAATAGAATATCAGTAAGTTCTCAGTTTTGACTCTGTTCACCTGCAGAAAGCATTCAAATCAGTAAAAAATAAATATAAGGATACTGTGGAAGACAAATATTCTATTTTTTCTATGCAAGTCATTGCAAATTCTTTCCCCAGAATACTGTTTATGCTTGCTAAATTAAGATATTATTGATTGTTCAATCTGTTTATAATTGCTCCTAAATTATGTAGTATGTATGGAGTGATACAGAGTTCAAGAAGGGCATGTACCTCATAGTCATAAAGTGTGTTTGCTTCAGACACTCTTTAATCCTTAAGACCTAAATAAAATGGGCTTGGAGCAGGGGGATAGAAAACTTTGGCCCATAATCAAAGAATAATTAAAAAAAATTAAATAGTAATCTGACGTTTGACCCTTTTTGATTTGTGGTATTTTGTTTCATTGTACTGTTATTTTGTAAACCAGCAAAACTGAATACATTTGGTATATTTGTATTTTTTAAAAATTCAACTTGGATAACCTTCTTTTATGAATGTTTTCCCTACCCTGCCTACCTCAAGCAGTGAAAAAAATGTGTGTGTCTGTTATCATGGGATGATCATTTCCATTGTCATAAAATAAAACATCTCCATACTGCTATGTGTGAATGTTTTTTAATATACCATATCTTCTCACATACAGAATACACTTTTCCCCCAAAAAACAGCTGCTGGAAATTTCAGTGTGCGTTATATGCTAGAAATATGGTAAGAACAGTTTGTGCTGGTTAAGGGCAAAAGTGAAAGTAAAATCTATATGGGGAGCTGAATAGTGAGCAGGCTTTGCTCCCTACCTGCTGCAACTCCGTTACTACAAGGGAAGTTCTTTTTTCTTCTTCCTTCACTCTGTCTTTCCAAGGTATGTATGAAAATGTGGTAGACTTAAGAACAAAACTGCTTATACTTATTTTTTTTCCAAATCCCTTCTTAAAACTCACTTGGGTGACGGTTATACTGCTGTTAGTGTGTACCTGCTTCCTCAAACTGACCAGCATTGTGTTTTCATTTTCTTGTACTCCCTCATTTTATATCTAGATTTTGTTTCTTGCCTGATACTTAAATGGTAAGCTCTTTGGAGAAGGACCATTTTTTTGTCCTGTATTTATATAGTGTCTTGCACAGTGAGCTTCTAATCCTGGATACCACTAATAGAAACCAATCAGCATTTTAAATACTCCATTTCCCTGTAAAAGATTGCCTTTGCATATCCCTATTACAGAAGTGTTATGCCTCTATACTCCAAATACCAGAATCTAGGAGCATCTACCGCATGAGTACTCTCTTACAGACCTAAATGCTTGGTGCAGGTTTATATAAACCTACACCAAACCAGGTAGTTACCTGCCTATCACTATAGAGAGTAGATCAGGGAACTTGCTTTTTGAGAGTTTGAGGTTAGTAGTGTTTTTTCTTATTTCTTGGAATACAACTTATTGTATACGGTTACCTGGAAGATCATTCTTGTTTGCATCACATGGGAGAGAGCCCAAGAGCAAACATTTCTACCGATGTTCCAGCTTGCTAATGAATATGTAGCAAATTCCAAATGTGTCCTTTTGGGCCACCAGTCTGACAACATGAAAAGACTATCCATTGTGATGAAGACTAAAACTGTAGAATGTGCATCATCACTACAATATCTATACATCTCTTTACAGCATATATATAATGTATGGCAATATTTACCCCCATTTTAGAGCTGAAGATATGATATAGACATAAAATGAAAATCAAGATACAATGACAAAAAGTAGTCTTTTCATTTCTGAAAGTAGAGGTGTTTCTTTTAGATTACTCTGTTCCAAATAGAAGAAAATACTGAAATATAGGGATCCCCCAAGAAAGGCTTAGGTAGGCTTTCCCTTTACTGCTTTACAGAGCCTAAAAAAACCCAGTCTGTTGGTGGGGGAGTTGCTTCCACTGAGCCCTGTGGATGGGAGGTAATACTTTTGTATTCCTCCTATTTTGACACACTGTAAATAAGCCTGAAGATATTGGTGACAAGGTCATTTTCTTGGGCAACTTCATTGGCCAGGTTGGACATGACCACAAAATCTGGAGTGGAACTATTGGCAAGAATGGCACGGGAAAGGCCAATGCCAATGATATCCTGCTCCTGACCAACTGCACCCAACATAGCCTGATCATGCTGAACACTGTCTTCTCCCAGAAAGACCAGCTCAAGACCACGTGGAGACATCTGAGGTCGGAGCACTGGCACCTCTTGGACTACATCATTGTCCAAGGTAGAGACCTGAGGAACATGCTCATCATGAGGGCCATGAAGGGATCTAAAGACTGCTGGACGGACCACTGACTAGTGCACTCGGCGATGAACATCTGCCTGGCACCAAGACACCAGAAGACCCAGAAAGCCTCTCGGAGATGGCTGAACGTCACAGCTCTGGAGGACACTGGGCAGCAGGAGGAGTTCCAGGTCCAGTTGTGTAGTGCACTGGAGCAAGTCCGTACCGCTGATGACATCTCCATCCAGGCCCTGACACCTTACACCCCAGGGTATTCAAGGAGCTGGCTAGCATCATAGCTCAGCCCCTGGCACGGATCTTTGAGAACTCCTGGTGCTCTGGTGAAGTGCCCGATGAAGAAGGCCAATGTCATGCCTATTTTCAAAAAAGGGAGGAAAGTAGATCTGGCAAACTACAGGCCCATCAGTCTGACCTCTATGCTGGACCTCTATGCTGGTCATAGTAAAGATTATCAAAGAGGCCATTCTCAACAGACTGGCTGATGGCAGCATCCTGAGGGTTAGTCAGCACGGGTTTGTTGCGGGTAGGTCTTACTTGACCAATCTTATCTCCTTTTACAACCAGGTGACCTATCACCTGGACAAGGGAGAGGAGATTAATGTCATATATCTTGACTTTAAAAAAGTCTTCGATCTGGTATCCCATGATCACCTCTTGGCAAAACTGGCCAACTGCAGTCTTGACTTCACCATGATCTGCTGGCTGGGGAATTGGCTCCGTGGTCGGACTCAGAGGGTGGTGGTTGACGGAAGTCAATCGTTGTGGTGCCCTCTGACCAGTGGGGTCCCTCAAGGCTCTGTCCTTGGGCCAACACTATTCAACAGCTTCATTAATGACATGGACATTGGTGTCAGAAGCGAACTGGCCAAGTTCGCTGATGGCACGAAATTCTGGGGTAGAGCATCCACACCTGAGGACAGGAGGACAATCCAGGATGACCGCAACAGGCTCAGGAAATGGGCAGATGAGAACCTGATGGTGTTTAACACCAAAAAATGCAAGGTTCTCCACTTTGGGAAGAAAAACCCACAGCATGCTTATAGGCTCAGCAGTGCTGTGCTGGCTAGCACTACAGATGAAAGGGACTTGGGGGTCATGATTGACCACAAGATGAACATGAGCCTTTAGTGTGATGCTGTGGCTAGTAAAGTGAACAAAACACTGGCTTTCATCCAGAGATGCTTCTCAAGCAAATCCCAGGACATCGTTCTCCTGTTGTACTCGGCCTTGGTGAGGCCGCAGCTGGAGTACTGCGCCCAGTTTTGGGCTCCACAATTCAAAAAGGATGTGGAGAAGCTTGAGAGAGTCCAGAGGAGAGCCATGCACATGATCAGAGGTCAGGAAAACAGATCTTATGATGAGAGGCTGAGAGCTATGGGACTCTTCAGCCTGAAAAAGCGCAGGCTCAGGGATGATCTGGTGGCTGCCTATAAGTTTATTGGGGTACTCACCAGAATGTGGGGGAACGTCTGTTCACCAGAGCGCCCCAGGAGATGACAAGTTCAAATGGTCACGAACTCCTTCAGGGCCGTTTCAGGATGGACTTAAGGAAGAACTTCTTTACAGTCCGAGCCGCCAAGGTCTGGAATAGACTGCTGCTGGAGGTGGTTCAAGCACCTACTTTGAACACCTTCAAGAGAAATTTGGATGTTCATCTTGCTGGGATCCTATGACCCCTGCTGACCTCCTGCCCCTGGGGCAGGGGGTTGGACTCGATGATCTTCCGAGGTCCCTTCCAGCCCTAATGTCTATAAAATCTATGAAATCAGGCAGACTGAGAGCAACTCAAGTCTGTTGTCCAAGATGCTTGCACCCAGACTGTTGGGTTTGCATCACAATGAAATCGGGACTGGTTCAACACCAATGATGCTCAGAACCGCGATCTCCTCAAGTGGAAGCATGCAGCTTTCATCGCCTGGCAAAGCCATCCATGAACTCAATGAAACATGGCAGTGTACCACCAGCTGAAGGCTGAGGTCTAGTGATGCATCCGTGACATGAAGAACAACTGGTGGGTAGAGAAGGCGTGCGTGATCCAGGACATGTGTAACTTCTTCCAGGCTACCAAGATCCCGCTCCATTGGACAAAACCTCCTCCAATCACAGGATGGCTCCTGGCTCCTCAAGGATGATGACACCATCAGTCTGCATTGGAAGGAGCTTCGGAGGGAGTCCACTCTATCAGAGGAGACCTTCCAAGCTGTCATGCAGTGCCCTGTGGTGGATTTCCTTGGCGATTCACCAACCATCGGAGAGCTGAAGTGAGCCATCCAACAGATGAAAATCAACAAAGCCTGCAGGCCAGATGGTATACCCACAGATGTCTACCATGCTGGTGGCTTCTGGCTCACATCATGACTCCACCAGCTTGTTCTCTGTCTTTGGGACAAAGACAACATCCCCAATGATCTCAAGAACCTGACCATCATGACCATCTACAAGAAAAGGGAATCTGACTGTGGGAACTACAGGGGGATTTCCCTCCTGTCTATTGTGAGTACGATCCTGGCCTGCATCCTCCTGAACCACCTTTGTCTTGTCTCTGAGGAAATCCTTCTGGAAACCCAGTGCGGCTTCTGA